GCTGTCTCTTCTGTCGGATTTTTTGGAATCCGCCGGCTGCTTCACAGCACAAAGCTCCGTCGCCTGTATATAGGCTTCAGCTTCCATCAACGCCTCTTGGAGGGTGGCTACCCTTTTCCGGACGAGGTCGAACTTGAAGGTTGACCATCCTTCAGACCCTTAAAGAAGTCTGTGTAAGCAACTTCGTCAGACAGTCCTTGAATCTGAATTCTCATCAGATTGAACCGCCTGACATAGGACCGGAGCCCTTCTCTGTCACCCTGCTGTATTGCCCCTAGGTCGAGGCTAGTCTTTTTGGCAGGGATGTTCATTGAGAAATTTGAGGTAAATAAGTACGCCAAAGTCTTGAAGCTGTTGATGCAGTCGGCTGGTAAATTACCAAACCACCGTTGGGCAATGCCCTTCAGGGTAGCCGGGAAGCATCGGCACCAGATGGCATCATCCAACCCCTGTAGGTACATGAGGTTGGAATAGGCCATTAGGTGATCTTCTGGGTTGGAGGTACCATCATAGGCCCCTACCAACACGTTTTTAACCTTAGCCGGCTGTGTCGCCTGGGTTATCTCAGGGGAGAACGCCGTGGGCTGTTCTCCCAAGCTCAGCAGGCGCTGCTGCCAGTCCATGAGCTGGAACGGCTGCTGCACATTTCTGCCAAACGGACCCGTTTGGGTAAAAGGGGATCCACCCAGCCCATTTGGCGAACCAAATAGACCAGGCTGGATCACTTGGGGTCCAGACCGGGCGGATGGTTCGCCCGTCTGACTCCCTAGGCTTGTTCCCGTGCGCCTGTTAGAGGTGTCACGGAAACTGTCAGGAAAGGTCGACGTAGACGCCGACGTAGACGCCAGACTTCTCTTTTCTTGGAGAAACGTCCGGGCATCAGAGAATATCTTTTTTGAACCATCCAGCTGCAAGTGCCGGATGGGTTTTCTGGGTTCCGCTTGCGGGAAGCAGAGCCGGTTTTGATCGAACCTGAGGCCCTCCCCCTCCTTCGGCTTTGGATGAGGGGTAGGGACCCGGTCTTTAATCGCCTTCTTGTTAGAAGAAGGCTTCTTGGCCGGCTGACTCTTCTTGGGAGTAGCTGACCGAATAAGGTTCTGGATCTCGCCTTTGAAACTATTCATGAAGGTCATGAGTTCGTTCCTAGTGACGGGAGAAGAACCTTCTACCGCCTGAGCAGCTCCGACCGGGTTGCCGGCTGAGTTGCCTGGAGCAGCTTGGATGTTATCCCGTTCCTTCTTATCCCTGGAACGGGTGTGCTTTGTTCTCAAGGACCCGTCTGGGGCCACATAGGTGTCGAGTCCGTAATCATCACCACTTTCATGGTCCGTCTGGACCTCAAGCTCGGCCGACGGCCGCTTGTCCTGATCCGGTAGTACAGGATTAGAAGTCATCTCAGAAGTACTCTCCCACAGACGGCGCCAAATGTTTCGGGGTTTTTTTATGTGTCCTGCGGGAGAGCTACAATTCCAAGAATGCCCTTCGCCGCTTGTACCTGCAAAACCACGAAGACTCCAGTTGGTTGGAGCTCCGCCTCCGACGATCAAGTCAGTTACGTACAGGAGGAAGATAGTGCGTAAAATAGTGAAATTACTTCTCGCGTAATGGGAGAATTCCGCGATTAATATTGCTCGGTTTTGGTGTAAGTGTATTCAATTTTGTTGAATGTATTTATGAATGCCCATTAATGAGGATTCTCCCTCTATTTATAGTGGGGAGCCTTGGTTCCCCATTTAGGGTTTCTAGGACACGTGTCAGCAGGGGATTGGAGCCCTGCTGACCAATGGCTGGGTGCCACGTGTCGCTCAGCCATAGGGCCACGTGGCCGGGGTATTTTTACCCCAAACAAACGTAATATCATCACCAATAATGTGCCAAAAACGCTGGTAAAAAATTGCATGCATACCGTCCGGACCCGGGGCTTTGCAGGGCTGTATTTGTTGGAGAGCTCTATAAATTTCCTCCTTCGAGATGGGCCTGGTTAGTTCTCTATTGACATCGTCTGAAATCTTGGGGCTCATAGAGCTAAGCACATCCTCCATATCTTCTTCTGTCGGACTTGAAGATGTGAAGATATTTTCGAAATGTTTGGTGATAATCGCCTCGATACTTTTCTCATCCCTGTGCCAAACTCCATTTTCATCATAAATCCCACCAATGAAGTTCTTTTTCTTGCGTTGTGATGCTTTATGATGAAAATATTTGGTGTTTCTATCCCCATCCCTGATTTCTGCTACTCTGCTCCTAATGTACCAATAAGCTTCCAGTTTCTCGTTCAACTCATCAAGCTTTTTTTCTAGCCTTAGGCAATCCTCAACACTGTGCACTGAAATATTTCGTTTCTGAGCTATGTGGAGAGCCTCCTCCGTCTCTGCTATCTGTTTTTCTAATTTATGAAATTTTTTGCCACTCCACGAACCCAAACCCCGAGCCACTGCAGCAATACGATCAGGAACCACCTCACCAGTAGAGTCTCTCCAAGCTTTTCTCACAGTCACCTCACATGTGTCATCTAAGGGCCAGCATGTTTCAAACTTGCTAAACTTTTTCTTTTTCTTTTTTGTTCCTTGAGTAGTGTTTCTGGGAGAGCAGAATGGCCTTATGGTCAGAACAAAAGCGCACAAGGTGGTCTACCCTGAAGTCTCAAAACATGCTAACCCAGGCTTGAGAGGCCATGAACCTGTCTAGCCTTTCTCTGATTATACTCTCCACCGAATTCCCCCTTTCCCAAGTGTACCAACTTCCTTCGTACCCCAAGTCCCTCAGATTACAGTCGTCTATGGCTTCTCGAAATTTTGTAATCTCTCTTCTCTCTCTACCCACTCCCCCTTCAATCTCATCATACTTCAGGATTTCATTGAAATCACCACCAATCAAAATAGGTAACTCCCTCTCCGAAGCTAGGCTGCGAATAAGAGACCATGTTTTGTGCTTGTCCTCTTCTCGCGGCCAGCCATACATTCCTACAAACCTCCAAGTCTCTCCACTCAGTTTCCTTATATCTCCACATATGTGGTTCTGGGAGAAGGAGACTAAGCTAAAGTCCACTCCTTCCTTCTAGTACAAGCATAAACCTCCTGCTTTCCCTCTGCTAGCCACTCTAAAAGCATTAGGGTATCCCAATCGATCTTTAATTTTTTCGACTTCTATTTTATTTATCATAGTTTCTGATACAAAAATTATATCAGGGGCAAATTTGTTGCTCCATCTACGAAGCTGCCGAACCGTCGGGGAGTTGCCCAAACCCCGGCAGTTCCAACAGAGAGCACTCATTGGAAGAGGCGGGATTGGCCTAAGCCAATCTCCGCCGCCATAGAGACTTCCATAGTGTTCACATCATCATGCTTTGCCCTTTTATCTCCCACCATAACCTTCTCACCAGAGGTCAGCTCCTCCATTCCACGTTTGCTAAGAACAGCAACAGTCCCTTCCTTTTCAGATTTTTTAGCACGAGGTGCCCTTTTCCAGGTACGACCCCCCGTCGAGGAAGGTCTTATAGCATCTGAGGCTTGACTGATCACCTGGTCTGCATCAATGGGAAGTTTTGAGTTCTCATGGTCGCCAAAAACAAAGGTCTGCTCATCAAACACCGTAGGTGGTGGACTTGGCGCTAGTGAAAAGGTCATAGCTCTGGTAGCAGGGGGGTTACTCTGTATACTGCTTTGGTGCTCCTTCTCTCTACGACCCATAGCTTCTCCCTTCTCTTCTTGTTGAGGTTTAGTTACAAAGGTCAGCTTCTTGTTCACCTTAAGATTTTCTACCTCTTCCAATTCCTTCAGCAGGCCCTTTCTCGGGTGGCCTTAAGATTCGTCCCCCAACCCAATTGCTTCTGTTTTTCCTCTTCATCCACATTTTGATAGTCACGTTCGGCATGCCCCATTATACCACAAGCAAAGCAGAAGAAAGGGAGTCTTTCATAGGCAAAGTTCACCCGCAGGTCACGGCCTCGACGATCTTTAATCATCTGGAAACGCCTCAAGGGTTTGGTTGTGTCAATCATTATTTTAACTCTCCGGTAGCGCCCAACGCCAAGAATGTCCTCCTCCATCTCAAGGATTTCACCCATGCCCTCCACAATGGCTTTAACATGCGCATCAGTTCGGCAATTAAAGGGTAGATTTTTAATACGGACCCAAAAGGGGAGTTTTTGAGATTGACTTCTTCCGGTTGCTCATCACCATCAATTTCCTTAAAGAGGACAAGCATATTATCGAAACACCATGGTCTTCCTCTCAAAACTTTCTCATAATCTTTCCAATGGAAAAATTGAAAAGCATAAAGATTAGGGCTAAGAACCCTAATAGATATGCCGTGGATTGGGGCCCAAATACTAGTCATTGTCTTCTTAAAAGCCTCAGTATTGTATGATCTCTGTGTGAGCAGTCTCCCAACCAGCATCAATGAAAGATTGTTCTCCTCCTCGCCAGTAGTAAGGGTTCCTAAATCAACAGGTTTTTTCTCAATCTCACGAATATCCAAGCGAGCATAAAGATCGGTGATCTCCTTTGCCATAATTGCTAGGATTCGACGCAAGATTCAATCGGAAAACGGTAGAAAACTATCCCAGGGATAGAGATCGCTCTTTCTCACGAGAGAGAATGCCCTTTCTTTCGAGGGAGCTTATATATGCATAATATAGTATTTGTGCCAATTGCGTAATTTACGCTACTAACCACTGACCTGATAATTGGATAAGGGCCCGATGAGTAATATGGCCAGGCCGCCAGACTTACATTGTTAGTTTTGCCACTATAGGGCCAATTTATTCCCAATTTACAATTTTGTGAGCAAAACAAAATCATGGAGTCATGGGTTGGTCTCGAATAAAACCTAGTTTAGGTGAACCTGTGAATAACTAAGAATTTGCAATACACGACTTACCATTGATTGATACTTATAGTACTAGACTACTAGTACACCGGGTTACAGGGTTAGTGCCTTAGTGGCTGTAGCCAAGTAGGAACGTATCTGCCGATTAGTCTGTGCTTACTAATTCTTGATTCAAACAACTTTACCAATCATTTAGTAAATTACATTGGCCTTGATAAGCCAAAAGATTATTAGATTATCTGCAGGTACATAATAACCGAACGATTCATGACAATGTTTTACAATGTTTCTATCTAATCATTTTGGGCGCCTTCTAAATATGTGCAGTACAAACATTACAGTGACAAAAACCCCAAACTTAAATAATCTCTGAAGCTCCTACAATACTAAGCTAGAATCTTTGTGTACAACATACTAACAAGTACAACCTCACCAAGCAAATTATACAACATGAGCAGGGTCTCCACCATAAAAACTGTGGGGGGCTTCGCCAATGAAATTCGACACTCGTTATGAGGCTCGGTTTCCTTGAGCAAATCCTACATGTTTCACAATGCAACATGGAAAATCCTGTGCACCGAGCTTAATTTCTTGCAAATATGTAGAGCACCAATGAATAATAGCATCAGCAACCTTGGTGGGACATCATAACTTAGTGTACACTAACAAAAACGAAGCTGCTCAACAATCTTCTTTCAAAGTCAGCTTTTGGCAACACATTTGCATTTCTTCTGCTGCTCTGTAAGATCCTGCAGACGTGGAAGTTGTTAGTCAATTATAACGAGCTATAAAGATAACTGAGCAGCTTTGTTTCTGTTAGTGTACACTAAGTTATGAACCAATGTATTGCTATGACTTGGGAAATTCAATAATTTTGCAGATGTAAGAGCTAAGGGGGGAATATTCTTTCAACAAATCAGGAATTAGAAGCCAAGACAATGGATATTGGATAGTTAGTAAATTCTCAATCATGCTTTTTTTCCAGTCTACCAAAGTGCAGAGGAAAATGACAATACTAAACATACCTGTATTTGCCTTTGCAGATTCTTCACATATTCCACAGCCTCTTCTAGCATGTCTGCAGTATTTGTTTGCTGCCAAGAAGATAGCGTATCAGATGAGGGGGAATGGAAACCCTAAAAGGAACTTCAGAGGATTAAAATGATCAATTTGTTTAATGCTAGAAAATTTGATGTTGAGGAGAATAATGATCATGCATTCATGCATATACAGGAAAGAACACAGCAGTGATCAATTAAATTATTCATCCTTCATCTTCTTTGAAGGAAGACAGTGAAAAAGAAAACAAATGGGCATTGAAGAACATAACCAATGCAAAAATATTGGTTAAACTAGACCTATCTTGAGATATATTATTGGATATGTGTTGATATGGCTCATTGTAGTAGAAACACTGTGGACCTTATATCAGTTTACTTGAAGATATCTTTAGGGCATGCTTGGATTGAGGGAGATGTATTACTAGGAGTAACACTAGGCGCATAGCGCCTATATGTTATGTTTGCATATAGGCGGGCAAAAACGTAAATTTGCAGGGTAAATAAGTCATTTGACATCTAGAATGGTACTTTTTATGGTTACAGTAGTACATTTTTTGTACTATTGTGCATGTATATTGTACCATTATGTTTTAGTAGTACTATTATATCTCACAGTGGTATAATATTTTGATGTACCATTTACATACTAATTTGTACTATTAGCAAAATATTTATACCACTACAACATTTAATGGTACTATTTACCTATTAAATGGTACTTTATACTCATGGCCACCTGGCAGCTTGTCTCCACCTCAACTTCAACTTTATTACTACATTGTCATTCTATATGCAATGTTAGTACATAGGCGCTATGCACCAGGGGTTCTCCATATTACCAGGGTAATAAAAGTCAAAATAAGCAAAATGAAAGTGAATATAGGGAAGGAGTAGATAGTGATAGTGTGATTGTAAGGAAAATTATGTAGTGATGGTGTGGTATGAGGTGAAGAAAGGAGAACACCTCTATTTACTTATGTTTTTTCAACTTTGACTTCTATTACCCCCTTAGTATATTACCCCCAATCCAAGCATGGCCTTAGTGGTAGTTGATCAATCCACTTTGATCTCCACGAAATCACAGTGATCATATGTGGCAATTCTCAACTCAGTCCTTTTTCATCTAGTAGCTAGAGCTAGGAACTACAAAATTTGTAGCCTTATTACATCTATTGGAAATTGTTATACACTTATACCACTATTAAACAGATTGAGCAAAACTCGAATCATCTATGGTCTCCTTCAGCCAGTCAGAAACCAGTTTGCTATATTCTCTCACCCTCTCACTATCTCCTCCAAGCCATTTCTTGATATTTGCATCAATTCCTAATATGGAAAAGACATACCTTTATTGTTTTTCTTCCCATTCATGGACCCACTTGCCCTACTGTTACATATATACTAATGTTCATAACCCATTGCCACAATCTTATGTAATAATACTACTTCCATACCCCATTTTAGATTATGACAATACTACCTTACTTCCCATACCCCACACAAAAGCTCTGCTAAACTTGTGTAAACCCGGGTGAAGAGATAAATTAGGAGCGGAGGGAGTAAAAAATAAAGAGAACAAGAGGATGTCAATTGAATAACAAAATAGTGTTTGTCGGATAATATCCTTGAAAAAGATTAATTTGTGAGGAACAACCCATTCTATATTTTGTGTGGAACTACTTTTCATTATACTTTTGGAAGTTGAGGTATGGGGATCTGAGGTAGTTAGAACATCCCACACAGTTCAAAGGTCAGGTGATCGAATCCGACAACTCGACAAGTGCACTTAGTGTGGAGTTCTAAGAAAGCAAAATGAGAGAAAAAGACAAATGTATGAAGCATGTGCCTTATCCTCATGATCAATGCCAAAAAATGAAAACAATTGACTTTTTCACCGAATACAGGCAAAAGGTAGGTTTATGTACCAAAAATTTGGTTAAGGGTGGTTTCCATAAAAAGGGAAATTGTTCCTCACAAGTTGACCTTTAAAAAAGAAACTACCAGAAAAATTTACATTTGTTAAGGGGAATGGATGGCAAAAAGTCATGCAAGCATCAACTATCAGAGAAAGAAACTATTGACGTGACAGTTGTAGCTTCCTGAAGTAGCACCTGTTCAAGCAAAAGCTATGCTCGCACCATTTAACAGATTAAAATCTGCCAATAACCAGCTTTTTTCCAAGACAGGGTGTTGAGAGAACCAGCAGATACCGACATCAATCAGGAAATTCTTTTGTTTGATTGTTTGTTTGAGAGAAGAACGTAAGGCTAATGAAAAGGTTAGATTAGATAGGTCTATTTGGATTCCCCATGATAGTCAATCACACCACTACAAATCCATGCAAAGAGAGGTGTCACACATGAAGAAGAAAATCAAATGATATAAATATAAGAAAAATCTGCCTATTTAGACAGAACCATATCAGTGGAAAACCTTGATTACCGATGGTAGACAGAACCAACCTTCACTTTCACAAGCAAATACTACCACACAAGGCATAAACTATCAAGGAAGCACACTGATAACCAAACCACTATATAGAACTAGAAGTATAGCACAAGATTTTTGGAGTTTGGACAAGGCATTCTGTGAAGACAGCGGCTTTTTATACTTTTGTACAAGGAAGAAACTGCTTTAATTTAGAAAACATGAATTCTGGAGTGTTAACAGTGCACATTTTCCAGCACACTGATGCAAAATTCTAAAATCCTGATCATTAGTTAACGTGTATTTAACCAACGACCATGTTCCACGAGATTAAATTTGCAAACTGCAATACATACTTAAAGCAGCAATCAGATGCCAAATCCCACCTACATTTTTCAGCCAAGTATCAAAATATTGACATTCAAATGCTAAGCTCAGTTGGATGCCAACCGACTTAATAAGAACTCGAATCACCACATTTTCATCATTCAAGAAGTCTATTAACAAGGACTTCATAATCTATCAGCCTATCTCTACCCAAAATAGAGAAGCAAAATGTCTGCACAATCAAATAAGAATATACGAAGTATAATAAGAAAAATATTCAGCAAAAACCTTTCCCTACAAATGCAAAACCTTACCCCTACTTAAATATGATAGTGAAGCTTAACATTAGTGCTTACAAATCTTCAAATCTATAAATATCTTCCTTTGCCAGATAAAGAAGAACAATCCCGTTAATTAACAATGTGAGCTCTCTCCAATAAATAACATTTCTCCTTTCAATTCTTGATTGGTTCCCCTCTCTCTATTTTTTCATCTTATCCTCATCAACTTCTCTTCTCTAACCTTCTACCGTTTTCCTTTTTCTGTGAAAGCCCAATCTACCCACAAATCTGCAATTGCCCATCAGCTACAAGAAAAACTGTGTCAGATGAATTCCTCTGTAAGAAAAAAATTACCTCAATTGTCACTCCATCCTTGTTGGTTGATGGCAGTTAAGATATAAAGTTTTGTTACCAGAATAAATTGAGTATTCTGGCTAAATAGAGAGATTGATGGATGGTCAACAAGGTTCGCTAGGGTTTGAAGAAGGTAAGTATCATTTCCGACCAATTGTCAAGTCCATATTTTTCTTCACAACTAAAAACCATACCCATATCCATACTCTACTCATGCTGTGCTGACTAATAGCAGCTTTAAGCCCAAAGAATAAGCATCATAGCTCCTCTAACTCTCTAAGCAGTTTCTAAGATGATTCAGCCAAATTTCCAGTTTAATTTATATTATTGAGCAAAATAGCTTATACTTCATGGATCAATATAGCCATACCCATAGTTGGCTAATACAAACACAAGCTTTTATATTAAGAAACCCATAACAAGAGTATTCTCTTGATTTGCCTCAAATCTAGTTTGTGTTACATTTAAGGCCATATTCAGCAAGGGGAGAATGGATTATGGGGTAATAAATAATTATATAGGTAATACAATGTTACCATGGTCTGATAATTGAAAAGTTTGAAATATATACTGCTGTATTCCTATATTGAAAAACTGTTCAGGTCTATCTCCAGTACCTTCAAATCAGCTACTCCTATGTAGTAATTATAATAATGAGATGGTAGTTTTTCATGTTGTAGTCACTTCCAAGTCTCAAGTTTCGACCTCAAAGCAAGATGTCTGAACCAGAGCTGGGAGAAACAACCAATACAAAAAGCATACCAAAGGTACATGACCCCTCTCTTTCAGGAGCTGAAGACAAGAAGGAAAGAGCAAAGAGCCAAAGACCCAAGCAAACCCATGGTCAACCAGTGCAAAGCATGCTACCCTCTATCTCCTCTAATACAAGTAATCAAGTATACAAATTCTACTGCTGCTATAGTTTTCAAAAAGATGGGATTCAGAATGTCCAAATCTGATCCAGGCATCCAGCAATTCCATTGAGCAGTCTAATCAGAGAGGTCCTTCGACTCACAGAGATCTATATAGCATGTCATTTCGGAAGTATTGTTAAGAATGCACTGTACTGAAGTTCTCATGCACAATAATATAATATGCATACAATTGACTTGCATATGAATAGTATGAACGATAAGATTGATGATTCTTAAGAAAAGTGTCGCACAGAATATAGGATAACACGAATAAGTAAGAAATTATAATAAAATTCCAATGTATCAGCAGCTGGCAATTTTCATTTCATATCATCCATTAATTATTTTTGTACACATACGGAAAGAAAAATAGTTGGAAGTAGCAGTCTCATGAAACTATGAAAAACACGGACTTGAGAGCATCACAAGCTAGCATGACAATGACCTAATACCAATAGCAAAGCATGATGTATACATGTAATATGGATCAAATAACTTCATTAGTAAAATATTTTGACAATTTACTGCCCCTGACACTATTGTCAACAGGTTACAACATCCCTCTTTACCCAACATAACCTCAGAAAAGCAACAATCTTATGATGCACGATGAGATTAGATACTAAGACACAAACAAATGACTACAAACAAGGTGATCAAACATACAACAACAAGGTTTGCATTTTCTGAATCTTAGCAAAACTTACAAGTCATCAGTACTGTTGCTATGATAGCAAGACCCTACCTTATCCATGTTGGGCACAAGCTCTTGAAGCTTCCTTATACGATCACTAATCCTCGTCCTTCGAACCTAATCCAATCAAATAAGCAAAAAAATAAAAATCAAACCATCATACAACTGCTATGGAGCTTCATATATTCACAGCCCACCCAATTGAAAGGATGGAAATCAATATCTTACCCTCTCAGCAATACTACGAGGATGGGTAGCACAACCCCGTTTCGCCCGAACCCTACAAGGTACTGAATCCTCCAACAGCTTCTCCATTTCCATCTCCACCAAGCTACTTGCTGTACTCAATTGCCCACTTTGCTCCCCTCTCTACAGTTCCCAAAGTCAAGTTATCAACAAATTCAATATCCAATCAAACCAATTAACTTTCTAAAATTCCACAAACAACTCTATCCAAAGTCAAATTTCCCCAAAAAAAAACAAAAAAAAAAAAAAAAAAAAATCATAAAATTCCACAAAATAGAAAAAAAATAAATACCCACTTGATCCAATGCCTAATAAAAGTCATTGCATAAACAAATCCCACTTGAATCCATTAACAAAAGCCAAAAAGAAGAGAGAGAAAATTGAAAATTACCCTATGAGATGAGAAATTAGGGGAGTGTTGCTCTGAATCATTCTCTCTCAATCTTTTACCAGAACCTGAAACATCAACAGATGATCCTCCACCTCCACCTCCACTACCACCAAAATCATAGTTTGAAGGAATCCCAAAACTCGAGAAATACCCATCAATATTCGCACTCAAGAACTCCGCCGGAGAACTATTCATCCTCTGAAACGCCACCGTATTCCCCGGCGGTTGGGCCCCACCACCTTCAAAGAACCCCGGATCAGCCGGCGAGATGTTGTAGGAAGTATTGGGCCGAGACACCGGAATTGGGCCGGGCCCAGCAGCTGAAGAAGTATTAGTTCCGGCGGTGAGGAGTTGGGTGAGCCCACCTTGGTGGGTATTATGTGGGCCTGAAAGTTTCAACGAATCATCATCTTCTAGAAGTGCATCTAACCATGTTGCTGGTGCTGAACGGAATCGAGCGAGTCCACTCGCCCGAGTCAACTCGTTTCCTCCTCCACCACCTCCGCCGCCAGCTGTGTCTTGCATACTTTGGTGCTCTGTTTTTTTTTTCTCTCTCTCTATCTCAAAGTTAGTAGCTTTTGGGTACAGTGAGAAGTCCACTTGCTTTTTTATTTTCACAAAATAATAAATTAATTAAATAAATGGAGGATAAGAGGAGGAGGAAGAAGAAAGGAGGTGAGGTTTGGCGCGTGAGGAGTGAGAATGGGTGTTGGGTTAAAACGGTGTCATTTTAGGTGGAAAATGACAGTGAAATGATTTTGTGATTTAAGAATTAGGATCTAATGGTAGGGTGTAAAACATTTTCAATGTTTACAATGGAAAACTCATTTTCAAAAAAGTTTTCCGTTGTTTGGTTGAAAGGAAAATGATTTTCCATTTTAAGCATTTTCCATTGTTTGGTTGAACTGAAAATTCAATTGTGAGGGAAAATGTTTTCCCTCCACTTGTGATGGAAAATGTTTTCCTTCTAAATTGGGGGGAAAATGTTTTCAATAAGGTGGAAAATGATTTTTCACCCCAAGTTTTACATTTTAATGTTTTACACCAAACCAAACAATGTAAAATGGGAAAACATTTTTCAATGAAAATGTTTTACGCCCTACCAAACGGAGCCAAAGTGTTAGATGTTTCTTACTCGCAACCCTTGAGCGTGGGATTCACGTACCAATTGTTTGGTTTTTAAGTGAGGGGCGAATGTCACCTTACGCAGTGATTCGCATAAAGTACTTCGTATGCTATGCTAGATTATTTGCTTGCGCGGAGTTTTAGGAGAAATTGGAGAAATTAATAAAATATGAAGGTAGTGGTGTAAGTAGAAGAATTAAAAAATTATAAAAAGCAAAAGTAGTTGAGAAAATTGGAGGAGGGAGAATATGAAATTAATAAAATATGATTTGTGTTGGATCCACTAGTTAAAAGAAATGAATTAAATATTGTAAAAGCTTTCCAAATAAGGAAATGGAGCAAGTATTTAAAAACTGTCAGAAAAGAAAAGTGGAGCAAGTATTTAAAAACAGAGGGAGTATACTCCCTCTGTCCCATAATATTGTTTGTGTTTGTGTTTTTTCACGGTATTTAAGAAATAAGAAGAAAAAGTAGATGAAGTATATTAATAAAAGTAAAAAGTACAATTATAGACCAAAGTTAGAGAGAGAAAGTAGAAAAAAGTACATGACATGTGCAAAATTCAAGAGTAATTTAGGAAGTACAATGAATAAAGTCAAAAAAGTGAGGGTATAATATTTTTTACTTACCATCTATAAATAGAATCAGGAACAATATTTTGGATCTCCAAATAGGAAAACAGGAACTATATTATGGGACGGAGGGAGTACTTCATAGGTTTATTATACTTATACTTCATATGTTAGTGTATTTATTTGCGTGTACATTTTATGTGTCAATATATGATATACTTTCTCTGTTCCAATAATATTGTAAGATAAAATTACACATCTTAAAGCATATTTTTTATGTTATATATCGATCTATAATTATACTTCCTTCGTTTTAAATATTTGCTCTACTTTTTATTTCCGGTCGTTTTTAAATACTTGCTTCATTTCCTTATTTGGAAAGTTTTTACAAATTTAATTCATTTCTCTCACCTAATGGACCCAACATAGATCATATTTTGTTAATTTCATATTCTCTCTCCTCCAATTCTCTCAACTATATTTGCTTTTTACGGAGTACAATTTTTATTCTCCCAACTACCCCACTACCTCCATATTTTATTACTTTCTCCAATTTCTCCTAAAACTCCGTGCATAGAGAAATAGAGCAAGTATTTAAAAACGGAGGGAGTATATGATTAAAAATTATAAAAAGTTGATATTGTAAAATTATTTTATGAGATGAATCTAATAATATCCAACATGACTATATTTTACTTACGTATGAATCATATTATGTGGTAAACCAAAGTGATAAATAGTGCAAAAGATTGTTACAATATTATTAGAATGGAGGAAGTATATAACTATATATATTATGGAGTATATACTAATTTAAATGTGGATATGGTTAGAAATCTACATTGTATTGTACTCCGTATTGTAGGATGGAGTAAGACGAGTATGCAGAGTACTAGAGTAAAGACAGGATTGAAGCATCTAGGAGTTAGAGTTGAAATAATTATTAGTGTTTTAACACGCCAAATTTAGTAAGCATATAATGAATATACTAATTAGGCTAAGTTCAATTTAACTTATTTAAGTTAAATCTAGCTTTTTTTTTTTATAAATAATCAGGTTAATTAGTTATTTTATTTGCTTTTTGTTAATCATTGAACATCTTTATTTTTGCTACTTTGAAAATTACTGGTATATAAATTTTATATTTGGAAAGTGCATGTTAATAAATATCTATAAAGATCTCATGCGCAAAAAAAATATGGCCAAAAATTTTGGTCCAATTTAAATATCAAATTAGATCAACCCAGCCAAATGAGATCAGATCATGTATATTGCATGAACATAGCCTAAATTACTTATGTTTTCATGCTCGAATTTGTGCATGTGTATAAACACATATACTCGTAGGTTGTAGCTCACAACCTTATCACTCCCTCAGTCCCTCTACTTTTTTTATTTTGTCCTATTTGACTTTTTACAATTTTCAAGATGATTCGTAAAATGTATACATCTTTATTTTATACGCATAAAAAGTTGATATTACATATATATTAATAAAAAGTTGAGCAGTGGAGAGCCACTAGTCTCTGCCACCACCCCAATTCTTAGAAGTTGGTGGTGGGGGAGTTTTACTCAGGCCTGTTAGATCCAGGCTAATAATTCATCAACTGCCCTACTACATTGCAAAACTTAAGAGGAGAAAATATTTAATTGCAATGTTAGTTTACCACTTACTATAAGTAACAGCATTGAAACTTCTCTATATCGACTTTCAACTGTGTTGGTCATTTTAATACTTTGTATGAAGTATGCGCAATAAATTAATACTCGTAGAATACAAATTTATCCTGGTTTGCATATGTAAGTGGCTTTATATTTGATGTCTTTTCTGTTTATTGCTCATTTCTTGAGTCGTGAAATGGGCTTGGCCAAATGACAAAAGGCTATACAGTTAACTTGAGGTTCAGTAGCGATTCAGCCGGTTACTTCCCTCAACCACATGCTTTTTTGAATGCATTTCTGGCCATCCCTTTTGAACTTCAATCACTTCTGATGACCGTAATTGAAGAGGGAATGCATACTGCTAACTTTTTTTGGCCTTTAAACATCTATATAAAAAAGTCCTTTGTCTAGAACTGTAATTCTATTAGCAAATTCATTGCTTAAGCTGTTTGTTTTTTTGTTCGTTCGTATAAATCCAATAATGTTTTTCTGATTATAGTACATCTGCAATGCACTTACAGTCCAGTGATACTGTGTCAAAATGATAATGCTCTTGCTTTAGGTATAAGCTTTTATTTGTTATCTTCTTCCCGAGCAAGTCACTTTTTTTAAATTCTGAGAGTTTCACATCTTTTCGCTTGCCCTGCTGAAGGGATGCAAACTGGTTTTTGTTGTTGTTGCTTGTATTTCTTCTCCTTTTTATTGGTAAAAGATGTGGCTTGTTTCATACTTGTGTGAGATTTTTCAGTTCTAATCCAATGTTTTTCATTTGATAGGGGCTGGGCTTGTTAACTCTTTCAGCTGTGCTGCCCTTCAACAGTGAAGCGAACAGCATGAAGACCAGAACTGGCATGTTGTCTGATTCAGTTCCTTTCCAAACAATTTCAATATTTTTCTCTCTATATCTTGTGGCCATTGGGCAATCTGGTCATAAGCCTTGTGTCCAAGCTTTTGGAGCAGACCAGTTTGACGGACAAGATCCCCAGGAGAGCAAAGCCAAAAGTTCATTCTTCAATTGGTGGTATTTGGGCATGTGTCTTGGTCCATTGCTAGTAATCTCCGTCTTAAACTACATTCAGGATAATGTTGGTTGGGGCCTTGGATTTGGGATTCCTTGCATCATTATGACAATTGCTTTAGTGATATTTTTGCTTGGGAGTCAGACCTATAGGTATGTAATCTCAAGTGAAGAGCGAAGTGCATTTGTGAGGATTGGAAGAGTATTTGCCACAGCAGCAAGGAATTGGCGTATAAAATAGTCAGCAATTGACGTTGAAGAAGAAGTTCAGGGATTCTTTCCTTCCCAAGGCTCTGAACAATTTCGGTAAGGATATACTTCTTGCTATTGCTACATCTTGCTATTCATGATATTCATGTAGATTTTTTTTGGTAATTAGTCTAGCAACCATCAAAGTGGTAATGAGTAGTTGATTACAGATACTAGGGGTGTGGTTTTCTTATTTGGTCGAGGCCTTGAGGGAGAGAGTGGTGAGCTTGCACTTTTTGATGCGTGGCTCCTCTCCTTTGCTATGTCCTAAGGCTAATCATAGGGCAAACAGTATGGTCCATTTCAGCATTGGATATTTGCCAGACACCTTTTTTGGCCCAAAATTCTGCCCAAATAGCTTTAAGCCAGATTAAGGAATAAAGATGCAATTTAGCCTAGGCCAATTACCGAAAGCGGCTACAATCTGTGGCATAAAATTTTACTTATAATCATCCAGGCTACTATACTTCATCAGCTCTGCAAGCCTGTTCTTTTTTTCAATCAGGGGAATAGAGGGGGAGGAGTTGGAACTATTTCATGGTGATGGGTGGCACCTTTTTTTTTTTTTGGCTGTCTATTTATCTACATTCATAGATCAGCAACCCAAGTTCTATCTTAAATGGTGGTTCTGATGAAAAAAGACATTAATTCGAAATCGCTATCAATTACAGTCACTTTTGCTAGTTCATAATCCAACGTGCCCTAGCACCTTCTTTTTACTAGAAATCTATGCTTATCAAGACTTTCTTGTTTGTATTCTCTTAACAGGTTCTTGGACAAAGCTCTTGTTGCTACTAGTAGTTCTGATGAGGATGGTAAAGCTTGTTGTAAGAGCGAGGTAGAAGAGGCAAAGACAGTACTGAGACTGTTCCCTGTTTGGGCAACCAGCACTGTATATGCTATTGTCTTTTCACAATCATCAACTTTTTTCACCAAACAAGGTCTTACCATGGATAGATCATTAGGGTCTAGCTTTTCTGTTCCCCCTGCTTCATTGCAATCCTTTATAAGCCTCTTTGTTGTTCTTTTTATTCCCATCTATGATCGTATTATAGTTCCTATTTGGGGTCCAAAATGCTTACAATTGGGCCCAGTCCACAAATGAAAATAATAAAAGTCCAATAGGCAAGGTACAACCCTTCAATACATTTGC